ACAACTGACTGTTTCACGGGCTTCCTATCTCACCTTCAAAATCAGCCATGTAGGCCCAAACATCAGAGTTGAGCGCGTTGACGACCATTTTCCTGTCCGTGGGTCCGGTAATTTCAACTCTGCGATCTACCAAACCAGGCGCTGGCTGGGCGCCTCTCCAGTTCTTATCATCGCGAACGTGCTTAGTCTCAGGGAGGAAATCTGGCAGGTGTCCGTTATCTGTGTCGATTTGACGTTGTTGGCGGAGCTTGAGAAGGTGTTGGCGAGTCGGCTCGAAACTGCGGTGCAGGATTGCGAGAAAGTTGACGGCTTCCTTTGTGAGGATCCGGCGAGAAGCTTCGTTGCCGGCGCCAAGGATGGAGACACTGTCTGATATTGATTGAACCATTGTGAAATTTCGACGTGGATATTTGAATACAGATCTATTCAACGTTTGATTTTAACTTAATAATACGGCTCTATAGTCACTCGTGATATCGAAGAGGCTATCGCCAGATATTAAGTACTCTTCTCACGGTTAATGGCGCATCATTAAAAGCTCGGCTCTATTCCGATGGTGTTCTGAATCATTGCGGAATTTGGTGAAGATTCTCGGCTCGGTACCCGAACCGGAGGCGGCCGTCATCCGATTGGCCCCACTCGCCCAGATCGTCCACCACGGTCGAACGGAGACGTTACACTTCGGACACTGTCTCAATGCAAAGGCAATTCATACGTCACTGGCGAACGATAATTCCCGAGTTATTTGCGTTGATTTATAATGTTTCGATTCCATTTAACATTATTTGTAGCGACTATGAACCATACCCTCCCGGTGCCATCATCTTTTCCAGCTCAGCCCAATCCAGCTGGTCAACTCCCGTTAAGGGGAGAGTAGGGTCATTGAAACTATTATAGATACCCTCCGCCGCTTCCAGCCCAAAGGCTTGTTCCAGATTCTCATCCAAGTTCAGACCGAACAACGTGTCTGATCCATAAGTGTCAGCAGGTCCTCCAAACATTTCTCCCTCCCAAGACGGCACAGAGGAACTGGGCGTCGGCGTAGTCAAGGGCATCTGGGCTGGTGAAGGTCCCGACTGCTCCGGTAGTCCGGCTCCGGGTGTGTTCCCCACCTGGGGTACCCCTTGGGACGCCCCGGAATCTCCCATCTGCACGTCATGGTCCTTATCGAACGCTACCACATTGGCCCACACGTGTGCAGAAAACTGCCGAACATCCTTGAGACGCTGCGCTGCCGCCTGATTTCCTGCAGAAGACAGATACTCCAAGAAATCAATGGCCTGGAACAGTTCTTGCGGTGGCGGCTTTTGACTATCCTGCTTGTGTGCGAAGCCGCGCATGATTAGGACGAAGGCGGCTGAAAAGGCAGCATCCAGATCGAAGAATGCAAATGGCGCTTCCTTTTGTTAGTAATTCGCTCTTCAAATTTGCCACCCGGGGAGAATCAAGGCCTTACCAATTTCTTCTTGCCTTTGCATAGCCATGAGGATGCGGATAATTCTCAGAGCCGACTCGTTGCACAGAAGGCACAGTTGAGAGATTGCCGAGGTCACAGCCTGCTTCTGTGTTTTCTGAACCTTGTCTTTGACCTTTTGGAGAAGAATTGGTCTGATGCAGAGAATGATGGACTAATTTGGGTCGTGTTAGCACCCGTTTGCCTCGATAAAGCCAAAAGATTTGCCCATTGAGAGACGGAAGTTGGTGCTTACCTGAAATAACCTCAGATATAGTGATGCACCAGCTCTGGTGACCTCAAACTGCTTGTTGCTGAAGTCAATGGCAAGATCTGCCGGGATAGATCCGCCAATGTCGTGTAGTGATTGGAGCAAGTTTCTCATCTTCCTGACAAGATCGGCTTGCGATAGTGCGCCTCGACTATATAATGCTATTGATCACAATGATCAGCTGTGGGCCATACGAGTGACAACCAAAACGGACATGTTGTGAAGTCGACATACATGACATGATCTCTCCCGTTGTCCGGGCAATCTTGACGTTGACATTGAGAGGCTCTGGAGAATCAAACCCTGGAGAGGGGCCAGGGAGATCGAACGAAAGGTGTCTATCATCAACGGAAGCTGGACGCCCGAGGCCTGCCGATATGCGCCTAGTTGTGCATAGACGATTAGCTTCGAAGTCTTGGTGGATTAGGGTGGTAGGCTTACTGATCCAGCATGTAGACAGTCCACCACACCCGCATTCTGTGTGCTCTCTCTGATGGTAGGCACTTTTGCTCTGAAAATGGCAAGTTGCAGCCCAGAGTCAGGGCAAGTCTGACTGTTGTTCCCACCTATAGCTTGTTAGTATCTCATCTCATCCAGCATGAAAGAATCGGGACTTACGAAAAAGTATGCATCATTTTTCCGGTCGTTCCACTGCAGATATGTCGTCGCCAGACACAGAATCTCAAGCCCAACTATGCCATACTCGCTGATGCTGTGAAGTGGCGGAAGCCTCCTCATGGCCTCAGCAAACCAGAACGCTCCCGGGGGTCCGCGTACCTCGCGCGGATCCTCTTCCATCAGCTTGCCCATGGCCATGACTAGAAGGTACAGTGTGAACCAGGGCGTGTCCATCTGTCGAGCTCGAGATGCTTGGCTGTTGAAAAGCAGCGTCATGTTGTCTGTGAATGTCCGCTGGTCTAAGAAGTGCTGTGTGACTCCCATGTAGGAGTTGAAGAGGTTCAGGAGACGATTAGACTCGGCCTCTTTGGGGAAGGCCTGGTGAGGGATGCCCTTGATCAACTCATTTGTTGAAGTCCATTCAGGGGTAAATGGCAGGTCACGCGGATCCTCGTTCTCCAGGTGTTCCGGAGCATCCTTCTCCGGAGAGTCTGGGTCTTTGCCATTGTTCTCGTGGAAGAGACTCCGCAACCGTTGCTCGAAGAGCGGGCCGGGAGCACGTTCTATGGATGCTGTTCCTTTCGCTTCAGTTTTGGTTCAGGATCCAATTGCAGTCTGAGTGAGATCTACGCACCATAACTCGGAGGCGGTACCTCACCAGTAGGCTCAAAGGGCGCAATGCCTGGTGGACTCGGATTTGATGCCCCTGTTGAGACCCCCCGGGCGGGTGGCGAAGGTTGTGCTCGTGGTTGTCTGGCGAGCTCTGCTTGATATTAGACCGGGTTCTTCCTACCGCAAGCAGTTGTCTACAATTGCCTGAAAGGGATCAGCCGTGATAACTTACCCTTTATTTGGTCCTCATATCGGGTCAAGGTGGCTCTCAATTCCGAGACGTATCTGTTCACTGGCTTAGCAAGTTGGAGAAGTCCGACCTCGGAGCAGACTCACGCCTCTGAATATCTCTTTCTCCCATCGCCAAATTCACAGTCTAGGTTGTTTCGTGCACAATTCCTGCAAGGCTGCTCTCCCGAACACTTGACCTTGCGCCTACGGCATGTGTTGCATCTAAGCCGGTAGTCAGCATGGCAAACACGTCACAGCGGTGGAGTTTGGTGGGGGTGAATAAAGGGCAGGCGAATTGAGGGTGGTGACTGACGCGTTCGCGGACCGTGCTTTGGCGGCAGCTTGCTGAGGCATCGCGCCTTCTTCCTCGACCTCGTCTTTGATGCGTCTTTTCCTCTTCCGGCTCGAAGAAGAGGCTCCTGACACCTTGTGAGACTGCTGCCCGTTCAGTTCACCGGTAAGTTTGCAAAGTCTTCATGTGATGAAGGTCGCTGCGGCAATTGGAAGTGTGGGGCTGATAAGAGCCGAACTTGCCTTGGATGAGGGGTCTGGGGTCGGCGATAACGACCCCCGGTAGCTGCTACTCGACATTTTACTATGCGGTTCGGTAACCCGGTTACTGCAAGTCATGTATGTATGCCACTTGATGCAGCAACTGAGTTCAAGATTGAGCGCTGGAGAATGATGCGATGATCTTGTCAAGAATCTTCAACAAAGTGCTGTATTATTTGTGTAGCTTCCCAAAAGAATAGTTTACTGAATGTAATGTTTGGAGCACTTGTCTTGTCAAAAAGAAAGATCCGCGACGTAACATGGCACAGAGGCGGCAAGACTGTCTTAATCACAACATTCGCCTTCGGCAGCCATCCGATCCGCTTGTAGCCAGGACCCACCATCGGCTTCCAGCTCCGAACATCGCTGATAAGACGCACCAGCCAATAAGGTAGGCTGGAAGAGAGCTTGAACAAAAAATGCCGTTCTGAAGGACACTCGACCTTAGTCCTGGTTTCTTACGACGCGGGGTGCCCTTTTTATAGATGAGATAGATCAAGGGCAGAGAAGCCGAAATGATTGAACGTCGGTTCCCTTCCGAGAGACAGACTGCCGGTCTTGGCCGATGTCCGACACTGTCTTGTGGGGATAGCCGGAGATCTCCTTTACCAAAGTTGTCATGGTATTGATCAATCTACCAAATCGCAAATAAAACACAACGTTCTCCCTCGTATGGTTCATATTCCCGACTATCTTTGCTCTATGTGGTCTCAATGGCAAGCAACTGCTGTGCACAGATTTTGCTCACTCTACTATGCTCGGCCTATTCGAGACATTCGGCCAGGGAATAGGTATCTTTGGTGTTGCCTTTATGTTCGCTTGTCATAGCGCACCTACCGGCCTAAGTGGAAACCAACCGTGAGTGACGCAAGTAGAATATCTAGTCTTATGTTTGCAGATTCGAGAGGTATGCTGCACTCCACGTGTCGATTACTAACGTTGTGGTAGGTGTAGCAAACCTCACTGCAAGCATGGAGGATTGCAATTTTAGGTCAATCACATCTATCACTTGCAGGCCATGATAATAGCCTGAACTTTTCGTCGGCGTTTTGTAGTCGAAGCCACACGCACGCAAATGACAGAGCTACATGATGTAACACCCAAGTTCACAGTATGAACTTGAGTTGGGAAGACGAGCCCAGTAGTGACTTTGCCTGCCGCATTCAATTTCACTGAGTCGCTTATGCAAAGTCTCAGGTCCAATAACGAGGATGAACTCGGCATAGCCTTGAGCTACACTGTTGTTAAGCAATAAGACGACTCATGGGCACCGAACTTACGTACTCATCAATCTGTATCCAGTCAGGGCTGATCCCAAAAGCCATTGAGGCCGGCAAACACTGTACTAATATTCTGAGTGAAGTTGGGCATTTTCTTCAGGCTCGCATCAAAGCCATTGTTGTATCATTGAATACCACTGGCCGCAATCTCTTACCCCGAGGTTTGGCAGAGATCCAACAGCGCTTTCGTACTGTACGTCACCCTAGCCATCATATCTCACTGAGACTAAGGTAATAACTATAAGGGGACATGTTCGCTGGATTGTCTTATTATGAACAGCTCATCGAAGTTGACTCTCGGCATCGGATCATCTGCCAATGGAGTAAGATGACGCTGAAAACAGCCTATTGGTATGAAAGTAAATCTGGTCAGCTACACAACGTCACTGTGTCGTTTGACTTGACACTTGACACATATCTGTTGAATATGGCCATTCATCATGCCTTTACGTGATGCCTCTGGGTCTTACTGGCCCGTGATTAGACGGCTTCAGGGAGGAAGTAAGCAATCCTGACGGATTTCCTGTTATGCGAGTGTCGAACAATACGCCAACTGGAAAACATGCTATTAACTCTCCTTGAACAGTAATTGCAGGCGGCTTGATATCAAGTGATCAAAATCCCCACCGGGTATGCCGTAGGGCCTTTGGTTGACAAAAGTTCTCAAAGGAACATCGTATGCAGCCCTCGAATAAAATGCCGAGTGTCTCATGCCTAATGCAGAAGGAGGCGTAATTGGTACGCTAATCACCACTTCGCGGGGTGTGTGGACTGCCAATGGTTCTGGAGCTAATAATAGGCTGACGTGAGATGAAAGGAGTCTGAATCCTGTGAGATCATTGAGACACCTGCCAGGAATGCATGATTATAAGAAGATGCCAACACATCAGTGATATTCGAAGGCACTCGCAGGTGATTCTCCTTCACTTTTTCACTCTCAGTTCAACGCAAATCGCTGTACCGAGTCCTCAAATATGGCATTCCGACAAAAAGTCGAGGCGACCATCAAGTCCTTCTTCGAGGCATACACAGACGGCGAAAAGCATAATGACGCCTCAATCATCAACCGCGAGGTCAGCCCAGACTGCACCCGCCAACTGCTCCCCCGTTCCATGACCAAAGCGTTTGGCATACCGGGCGATTTTATCCTCGACAACGCGGCCTACCAAACACAGTTCGCCAAGGACATCGCCGTCTTCATAGTCGGGGCCACTACTACTTCAAACCTCGTCGTCGACTCCGAAGCTCGAAAGGCGGCACTTACGTCCTCTTCGGATATTAAGTTCAAAGACGGCTCAGAGAATCTTCAATTGGAATTCAGTTGGTTCTTTGACTTCAACGAGGACGGTTCCAAGGTCACGAGGGTTATCGAGTTCTGCGACAAGGATTCAGTGATGCTCATGCATAGCAAGGTCAGTGCGAACGAATCACACGTCCTAGATGCTAAGGCGTGATGAGGTTTCTGTACGGCTAGCTAGATCGTTGTAGAGTCATCTCTTGGTAGGAGCTTCCATGCCATATCTCCATCATGAATTCTTGATATCATTGCACTCCATACCTCAATTACTTGACATGCCTGCATCGTGTCCTCAAACTGAGCCCTAGAACAGGATCAGGTATACCTAACAAGTCACTCATTCGCATTTTCTCTGGGCGAATGGGTTCCATCGGTCTTGACCTCTTGCGCGAACCGGATGACGCCTGTCCTGTCAGCCTTGAGCTGAACCGGAACATCTCCGACCAGTCTCTTGAGGCCGCCAGGCTCAACTATGCCGCCGGCTGCTTTCTCTCTGATTTCATCGTCCATGTTCATGCATACTGGCAAAAGTACGTCGGACTTCCATGGCAGCAGCCCTTTCCTTTTCGTTCGCAGAACCTCAACTACGAGATAAATCACCGACACAGCGACCAGGGCGACAGAGTATACGATCCAAGCCCAGCGCACTACAATGACAACCTGGGTAGCCATCACGGTACCTCTGAAAGCGTCGTTGCCTGTAGTGTCGTTACTGTTCAGGCGTACGTCGTTGGTCAAGCTTCTTGTAAGTCTCTCCATCCAGCTGCCGACGTCCCCGAAACTGGCGTGCATTCCGTCCGCAAAGGGAGACGCCGAGGTGAAGACAATCCCCAAAGTCCCATCGGCGCTGACGTTTCCTATAATGTTTGTCTTTGCGTATGCTTTCATGGCGTACATCTGAAATGGACCCATTCCGTAGCTCTTGCCTGCCTCGGTATTGAAGTTGGCCGGGATGTTCACGAATGTGACATTTCTCCCGGTGGAAGTCGAGCCTTCATCCACCTCACTCCAGGTATCGACAATCTCGTCCTTCAGCTGTCCGGACTCTACGCTGATATTCCTCGCCTGGAGGCAATACCACAGAGCACACTCAGCCGCGCGGGAGTCATCAAGTGGGGTCGTCGCCGGCATCCCGCCAGGAATACCGAGACCGCTGAACTGCGCAATCAGATTGGGCGCGTCCGCCTTGATCATTCGAGGATCCCTGGACTCGAAGGTGCGGTTCGAGCCAGTGCTGATGTTGAACACGGGCATCCAGTCGGATCCTGTGCCGCAGTAACCACTAAGACGCGCACCGTCAGGCGCAGTCACAACGCAACTCGCAGAAGAGCTTCGGTTCATTTTGATCTCCGATGTTAGGTCGACACAGGAGCCGCAGACACCGACGGTCGGAATGATGGGCCAAGTGCAGTTACCAGTGGGGCAGGTCACTTGCGGCAAGTTGACTTCCGTAGACATGAATCCGGTGTACATGGCAAGTTTCGTGGGTGATAGGGGGTTCCCTGGGAAAACATAAAGTGTCATGATCATGCGACGAATAGAAGAGTTGCGTCTCCAACTCTGGAAGAGAGCGACTTACAAGAGTTTGAGTATCCCGACACCGTGCTTGCCCATTGACTTCTGGCAACGGTACCTGCTTGGCCTTGCGTGTTGCTCATAACCTGGTCTATCCTCAAAGTGATCAGTTGCTGGGAGAAGAAGCCCAAAGCAAGGGACAACATTGTCAACACAGCTCCAACGCAAGCAATGTGCATAAGATCCTTGTCAGCATTGGTAGATTTCTGGTGTAATCAATACGATTCAAGACCTACGCTCCCTTGAACCTCCACATCAACTGCAAGCTACCCCATGAACCTCTCGAGGCGTCGTCGATCAACGTAAAGTCATCCAGTCTATGGTATCCACCCTTCTTTCCAGAGAAATGATTCCATTTCGCCTGGCTGAGAATGGCACCCACAGCAATCATGAAGGTCGCGCGGCAGACGGTAGACAGAATCGCGATCAGACCGTTGAGGGTCAGGATCGTGCTTGGCCATGCATCTTGCGGCTTGCCATCGTACTGCCACAGGACGATTGCCTGAGCGACGAGACTTGCAACGGCGAGAAAACAACATCCTATTTCCATGTACCACCATCTCAAAGTCGAGTATGTGTGAGGCTCCGCCACGCTGTCAAGGGTGTTCTCTCTGGCTGGTAAAATGTCATAATCACCCAGATGAGATTCCACGACTTTGGGCACGGTTTTGTGAGAAGTTCGATGCCCTGCCTCATCTTGATGGATCAGCTCATCCTTCTGCGGGCCGTTCGTCGACCGATGAGCTTGAGAAATCATTGTCGATACTATTGAACTGCGCGATCGTCCGAGTCAGGGCTGCTCGTTTGCGGGAGCTAGAACCTAGGGTCGTGGAAGGTTATTCATGAAGGGATCATTAAGATGTCAAGCCCACAACGCGAAGGAACCTCTTCCCTAGCGTATTTTGCGAGGATAGTGTCTATCTTAAAGTTTTTGAGTTTGGGCTAAGCCTGCTGCCTGGTACATGGCCTGATGGGCTTGTCGTTGTGTCTCTGAAAACCCTGGCCAGATTCCGAGCTGAACTGCGACAGCCGCCAGCTATCGCACTGAAGGAATCGAAGGATCTAATGATGCCATGTGATATGGGTTGTTACCCCTGGCGCATGCATACAAGCTGACAACCAGGTCCCCTGTAAATCAGGAATTCGTACCTTTCTACCAATCATGCAAGACGAGAAGAGTTTGATATTCCGGGGCCCCTTGATGACTGCATGCATTAGTACAACGGCTGGCAATACGACCCTCCTACCTTTTCCTCTTATTCCACAATGCAGTACGGATAGAGCTGAGACTTTATCTTTTCGTCGTAACCCAATTTTGCTAGCCACGCGTAGGACAAAACCGGGAACCTTCAGGCAACAGTTTAAGGATGTATCCACAAGTTCAGTGCAGCTCAACATCAATTGGGTCATCATTGCATAGTAAAGTAGCCAAAAAGGGAAGAAGCGATTTCGAGTAACAGCGCTGTTATTCTCAGATTTTCTCAAAGAAATGCTATGATACAATGCCCACAAAAATCTCAACCAATATCTACAAAGCAAAAATGACTAGCCAAGTGATCACCGCCATCGTCGTCAACTGTCCCATGTCTCGTGTCAACATCCACCTTTTCTTTCTTTCTCTGCTCTCAATGCTTGACAGCCATGGCCCAATGTCTCCTGGTAAGACAAACCCAGACTCAAGATGGTATCAAATTCGCTGCTGCTGTGCGGGCTGAACCGATGACTTCAAGTCTATCGTTGATGATCGTCTTCGTGACTCTCTAGCGAGAGAGCTATTTAGGCGCTCTGGGTAGGAGCGGGAGGAGCTCCGGAAGGAGGAGGGCCGGTGGGAGTGCCGGTAGGCTTGGGAGGGGGGGTTCCGCTAGGAGCAGCACCCTCAGCTTGAGCACCGCTGGGACGAGGAGGAGGGGTGCCAGAGGGAGGAGCGCCGGAGGGAGGAGTGCCGGAAGGCTTGGAGGGAGGGGCGGACTCGGCGCGCTTCTGGGCGGGAGCGGAGGGTGCGCCGGAAGGAGGAGGGCCGGTGGGAGTGCCAGTTGGCTTAGGGGGAGGGGTGCCGGAGGGAGCAGCACCCTCGGCCTGAGCACCGGAAGGTCTAGGGGGAGGAGTTCCAGAAGGAGCGCCGGAGGGGGGAGCACCGGAAGGAGGAGCGCCAGTGGGCTTGGTACCGGTAGGAGCGGCGTCCTCGGCGCGGCGAGCATTGCCGGTAGGAGCGGGAGCACCGGAGGGAGGTGCACCAGAGGGAGGAGCACCGGAAGGAGCGCCGGAAGGAGGGGGGCCAGAAGGCTTCACTCCAGAAGGCGGGGGACCGGTAGGCTTAGGACCGGCGGGGGCAGACTCGTCAGCGCGCTTGGCGTTGGTGGGCTTAGGAGCGCCGCTGGGAGGAGCACCAGAAGGAGGAGCACCAGAGGGAGGAGGGCCACTAGGGCGAACTCCTGAAGGGGGAGGTCCAGACTCGCCAGAGGGCTTGGCTGGGGGAGCAGACTCAGCACGGCGAGCATTGCCAGTAGGAGCGGGAGCACCAGAGGGGGGAGCTCCAGAAGGCGGGGCACCTGAAGGAGGAGCGCCAGAAGGAGGAGGACCGGAAGGCTTCACTCCGGACGGGGGAGGGCCGGTAGGCTTGGGGCCTGCGGGAGCAGACTCGGCGCGGCGGGCATTGCCAGTAGGAGCAGGGGCACCGCTGGGAGGAGGGCCCGAAGGAGGAAGGCCGGAGGGGGGTGCGCCGCTCGGAGGAGGACCGCTGGGGCGAACGCCGGAAGGAGGAGGTCCAGACGGCTTAGCACCGGAGGGCTCAGCGCGCTTGGCGTTGCCGGTAGGAGCGGGTGCATCGCTGGGGGGAGCACCAGAGGGAGGAACTCCAGAGGGAGGAGGACCGCTCGGGCGGACGCCGGAGGGAGGTGCACCGGACGGGGGAGCACCAGTGGGCTTAGCACCGGCCTCCTGAGCACCGAAGCCGCCGTGGCCGCCACCACTGGGCTGAGCGACGCCGCTGGGGCGAGGAGGGGGAGTGCCGCTCGGGGGAGCACCGGAAGGTGCGCCGGAGGGCGGGGGCCCAGAGGGCAGGGCCGAGTTCTGGCGACGGTTCATCATGCCACGGAAGCGGCGCTGCTGCTGAGCTGGGGGTGTGCCGGAAGGTGGGGCACCGCTGGGAGGCAGGCCGGTGCCGGAGGGGCGCGGGGGAGGAGTGCCGCTCGGGGGAGCTCCACTGCCGTGGGGTGGGGGGGCCAGCCCAGTGCCGGACGGGGGCGCACCAGAAGCCTGGGGCGCCGGCGCCGCTGAGCTGATGGCCGCGATGGCGGTAACGAGGGCGAAAATGAGGTTGGAACGCATCCTGGCGAATGATTGAAGTGAAGTTGTTGAAAAAAAGGGTGAGGTCGAGGTTAAAAAAAAGAAAGAAGGGGGGTTGCGGTAGAACAAGTGAGGTTGTTGAGGAAAAGAAAGAAGATGCAGAAGAGATAAGATGAGATGAGTGTGGTGATGAGAAGGAAAAGAAGAGTCTGGATTAGTTGGATATCCGATGCGTTTATATCTTCTTTCGATAGGTACTATACTGACACCGATGACGGGATGGTTTAGCTCGAGTTTCTCGACTTACACCCAAGTGACATGCTCAGCACGTCTTCGAGTCGAGGAGTTGACGACAACGCGGCTCAGCTCCGCAATTCGATGTCCCAGTGGCTCCATCGCGGGCTGGGCCCATCAGGGAATATTCCGTGACGCTATGATCGACTCTCGAGAAAGCACGGAGAAAAGCCCCATTGTCACTGTGGGGAGCTGTTCCAATGCTTGACTGAACATAGTATGCTGTGGCATGTCTGCTTGCGCGGCTTTCCGTCTTCGTTCATCGTTGGCCCAGCCGCGATAGGGCGGTGTCAAGTTGAGTGAGATGGCTCCATGAAGCCCCGACAAGGGACACCAGGGTTTACACAGCACAGTAAGCCACTTTGGGGCCTGGTAGTATCCAGCAACGGGGGACGACAGGAGGTGTTCGTCGGGTCTAGTGCGTCTGAAAGTTTGGTAACGATTGGCCTTGAGAGACCGTTTGTTTCGAAACGTCTGGTTTCGACGCTGTTAACGCCTGTCACTGACAAGTTGTTCTGGCCCCCTAATCCTATGCAGGGACAAACAGGCCAAAAAAGCTCTCCCGAGACAGCCCTTGGGGCTGGGACACGCAAGCCCGCCCACTTCCCGAATTAGGATCCCGGGTAGCGCCCCGAAGGGCTGCGCCGGTGGCCCGGGGCCAGGGGCGGGTTAGTCGACCGCTTTGAGGAATGTGGCGACGGAATTGCTTGCGTTGACACCAATTGTCACTTTTTTGGCGACTTTATCCTCCAAATTGCTTGCATATTGTACAAACATCGGACGATGATGGCCGAAGTTTCCCAAAAGGGAGTTTTCGGAGTTGTCATGCACCAGACCCTTGAGGCCGGGAAAAAGAAGAACTAGCATTTGCGTGTTTGTGACTCAAAGCGAGATCAAAGGGAGTGAGACAGGCTGGGAAAAGAAGCGCTAGAAACTACGGAAGATGCCATCGCCCCCCTATGCTCCCTTACAATGGAGCTTGCCTCGATGACGTGGACTCTCAGCTCCCTACCAGCCAGTTGTCCAGCTTTAGGTTTGCGTACGCACCTCTGAGCCTGATGTTCTCAGCCTGCCGTACGTATGTTGCGTGCATCTATTCTTGGAAGGGAACATGTTCGTCACAAAGTTGAGCTGGTTTTCGAAAGGCTCATCCCGATTGGGATTGACGTGCTCCAATCATTGTATCCAGTTGTAGTAAGATGCTTCAGTGGAGTTGCAGAGTCGATGAAACCGTTAGCTCGATTTACTCCAACAGGGCGACGTACACCACAATCAATTTGATTCAAGCTCACCAAGAAGCGTCGATCAACCGAGATGTGGGATCAAATTGACGAGACATGGGTCGGAGCTGTTTGCAAGTGTCCGCCTTTCACGCCAATCATTGGTGTTTGTACCGTGGTGTTAGCTGTGTAGAGCTTTAGCCTCGTGCAGTTGAAGCATAATTGACGGCAGTCTCTGGAGCATCACACCATTACGGAGAATATGAAGCCATGTTCAGATCGACAACTAAAGTTTCTCCATCCAATAGTTGCCCCGTTTGCGGGTTTTCTTTAGATGATGATTTTCAGCTTCTTGTCTCCCCGTAGCGGGATTTGCCGTTTCAACCTAGACTCTGCGTGCCAAAGGTAATGTTCGACGGAGGCTACGAGTACATGTGATTCCAATGATCTTCAGGAGGTTTCATCGAATTTCTTCTTCATTGCCAACAAAGTGCCATTTTACGGAAGTTGGCTTCCGTCTAGTGATTTCCTTTCATCTTCGACAAAAAACAACTTGGCCACGATGATACATGAGAGATCAAAGATGTTCTTCCACCAATCTTTCAAGCCAGTATCAAAGGCGTGATGAGATATAATATGATCCGTCTTATAATTCGGCTAAAGCTTTGAAACAATATAGGATGACGGGATTCTAAAGATAAAGCTATTTTGAACTTTCCAGGGTCTCGGGAGTACTTGGGTATTGGAGGCGAGTTGACGTGGCACACCAGATCGATGATCAATTCCAGACGGACGAACGAGGTCTGAGAGCGAATCTCACTGCAACGGTAATCTTTCTTGGTCGATCCAGGATGAACCGGGAACGGAGCTGTCATCGGAACTTGGAAGTGTCACTTGCCTTGTAGCCGCCAGCTCGAGTAAGTCAGTAACTTGATTGTTCATGGTCTGTTGGATCCCC